CCACCATCCAGTGCTGTGAGGGTTAAACTGAGCTCAGACTCTTCCTCCCGGTCCAGGGCTTTGTCCAACACCAGCTCTGGGTATTTTCTGCCATCCCCATGACTATGAGTAACAACACGAAAATTGGAGTTGGGGCTGATTGTGTAGTTCTGAACGCTATTGCTACCCATGTCCAAGTCCTGAGCTGATTTCAAGGGAAACACAGTCCCTGGCTGGGCGCTCTCTGGGATTCTAAGGATCATTTCCCTTTCTAGGAACTCCGGAGAATGATCATTTACATCTGTGAGTAGCACATCAATTTGAAACAACTGCACCGGGTTTTCTAGTAACAGTTGGAAATGCAATACACAGGGTTCTGTCGCCCCACAAAGCACCTCCCGGTCTAGTTTTTCCTGTAGAAGCAAATTGCCGGTTTTTTCATCAAGCTGCAAGAGCTGATTGCTGCCTTTGTGATGGATTCTCGCACCCCGAGTGGCCAGCTCCCCCACCCTGAGCCCCAGATCTTTTGCCAGGTTGGCCACAGAGTAGCCACTTTCTGTTTCTTCTGGCATGGAATATCTAATTGCTTCAGAGTCAGTCTCCCACAAAAACAACAGCATAGCAAAGAAAATGACTTGCCTTTTCTGCAGGGATTTTGCTGGAGCAGTCTGCATTGTTCAAATCCGTCCAGAAGGTGCAGTTCCTTCCACTCGGTATACAATCCACTCAGACGACTTTGTTAAATAATCTTGAGTTAAATATTTCTGTCTGACATGCACTTAGAATGATCCCTTCTCTGAAGATCTGTCTCCTGGAGCTCACCTACAATGCCTCCTTATTTTAGGGAGCTTTCAGAGTTCTGATTCCTGGTTCAATGGCGTCTGAGGCATCCAAGTGCCCAATAATCACTTTCTTATCCTGCAGCGCCACCAGGCGTCCTTATTTACTATTGCGTATGATATTTGCTATTTTATTCTAAATTCTAATACTGCCTTGTATCAATATCCTTTTAATCACAAATCTCCCTTTGTTGTATCCTCAAGTTATTAGAAGTTCTAAATAAACATTTTCTGAGTGAATGCTCAGTTCAAGAATATTTTTTAAACTAACACATGCCTCCAATCCCTGTGGCTAGGGTGGCTGAAGGAGAAACATTGTATATTTAAAGTCATCTTTGGGAATTTAGGGAGACCTTGTCTCAAAATAAAAAATAAAACTAGGTATACCGTTCAGTGGTTATGTGCCCCTCTGGTCCATCTCTGGTACCAAAAATAAACAAACAAACAAACATAGATGGAATGATGTTAATATTCTCTGTAATAGTAACTTTTGATTACAAGAAGAAACTTTCTTGGTTCATAATTAGATTATAGTAAAAAATAATTTGTAGTGGACACATAAAAATTCTAAAGTTTTACAAAATTACTTTAATTTTGAAGCATAATATACTTGCAGAAAAGACACAAATATAAGTGTACCACTCTGAATTTAAAATTGGATCCATTCCTATAAATAGAATGTAGATTAAAAATAGAGTGCTGCCCAAACTCAGCAAGTTCTCTCCCGCCACTGTCTAATTAGTAAATTTCCCCATATCATAAGCTCTATCCTGAATTCTCCTGTCATAGTTTTTTTCCTTTTTGCTTTTTGTACTCATACATATGGAGTTATAGTGCATAACTCTCATGTCTGTCTTCTTTCATTCAACATATGTTTATAAAATTAATAGGTGGCATATCATTCTGATTTATTTCATTCTCATTACTTTACAATAGTTTTGTGCATAAATATAATCATGATTTTTATGCATTCTTCAGTTCATGAACATCCATCCAGTTTTGAGCCTTTTTTTCAGTAGTATTGTTATGAACATTCTTATCTTATAATGATCATGTAAATGTAACTATTCTGAATATATTTATATTAGTTGTATTCCTGTGCACATAGGCACACATCTATTTAGTATTAGTAAATACTGTGAAACAATTTTCATAGGTAGTTTTTCCAGTACCAATAAAGTATGAGAGTTCCAGTTGCTCCACATCCTTGTCAACATTCAATGTTGTCATTTCAGTTCTAACCACTCTATTGAGTGTGTGGTGATATCATTTTGTAATTCTGATTTGTATTTCTCTGGTGATTAACAAAATAATTTACGTTCTCACATATTTATTTATATTAGGATATATTCTTGTAAAGTACTTGTTCAAGACTTTTGTCATTTTTCTTATTCGGTCATTAGCATCTTTCCTTTTGTGGTCTGTAGAAGTGTTTTTGATATTCTGGGTGTAGAACCTTTTATATAATATATTACAAATATATTGTATATTATGTATCTTCTCCCAATCTATGTTTTATATTTTAATTTCTATCAATGGTGTCTTTGATAAAAAAAAACTAATTTAATTTAATTTATAAATACTTTTCACTTTTGGTTAGCATTTTTGTGTCCTGTTTAAATCTTTGCATACACAAAGGTCTTATTCTTATATATTTTGAAATATTAATTACTGTTTTTCTTCTAAAGCTGTAATCAAACTATTTTTTCAAATGAATCTGGTTAGAGCCAAAAATTTTCTACATACCTCTATATCATTTATTGAAAAGTTAATACATTCAAAATTATTTCAGAAGCCTCATTCCTCTTATAAATTAGGTGATTTCAGATCTGCTCAAGTATTCAATTTTTTTCTGTTTGTTTATCCTGCATTACCACATTGCCTTAGTTAATATAGCTTTGTCATGGGTTTTATTATTTGAAAGTAAGGCTTCCTTTTTTTAAAAAAAATAGACTATTTTAAAGAACAGATTTAGAGTCACAGAAAAAAATGATCATAGTGTACAAAGATACACCGTGTTGGCAAAAAAATTGTTCACAAAATCTACTTTTTATTTCCAAAATGTCTGTAGGATTTTTAATGATGTTTCTTTTTTTACTCCTAATAATGATAATTTGTATTTTTATTGGTTTACTTGATTAATCTAAAGAGCTTTAATTTTACTAATAACTATGAATAACCCACTTTAAATTTCACCAATTTTCTCATCTATTTTATTCTTTTCCTTATGTGTATTTTGTATGTATAACTATCTTCATTATTCACATTTGAATTGCTGTTTTTTCTATCTTCTTGAGATAAATCTTTCATTATTGATTTTTAGAATTTCTTTTCTAATATGTGCATTTAAGGCTTTACATTTCCTAGTTGTGTTTTTTTATGTCAGTTGTTGATATTTTTTTTTACCCAGTTCAAACTATTTGGAAATATCTGTTGTGATTTCTTCTTTGACTCATGGATGTTATTATTTAATTTTGAAGCATTGGGGGTTTCTTGTCATATTTTAATTTCTGCATTGTTCTGCTGCAGTCAGAAAGCAGAGAGGCTTGTTTTATGATCTAGAATATAGACAATTTTCATATTTTAATTGTATGTAAGAAGAATGTGTGTTTAGTGTGTTATGTATGTCAGTGTATTTGAATATGATGTTTGTGTTGTGCAGCACTTCAGTGTTCATGTGTCTGTGTTGTCTTCTTATTCTGTTAGGAATGGACAAAGGTATATGAACTCTCACAATATGGTTGTGGTTTGTATTTTAGTAGTTAGAGAAATTTTCAGTCTTGGATTCCACTTATTTCTTTGCCTTTTTATTATTATGAAACAGCTGTCTTCATCACTAGTGAAGAATCTTAAAGTCTCCTTTGTTTTATATGAATATAGCTATATTAAATATATTTTGGCTAGTGTACTAAACACACTATCCCACTCTTAACTTTCAATCTTTGTTTTCTCTCTTTCTCTCTCATACACATTTATTTGGTAGTATGTGTTTGAGTTGTTCTTAAATATAGTCTGAATATTTTGATTGTTTAATTAAATTGCTTAAATCAATTATTATTATATCTTTCAATCCACACTTACCTAACTATGCTTCCATTTGCTTCTAAGGTTTTGTTCTTCTTTTAGATTATTGAAATACCTATTATTTTTTATGCACCTTCAGTTACTTTTTGGTTGTTATTTATTATAAGATATAACTGTTATCTACACTATTTCTACTTTCATGAGATAATCCTTGGAACCTTAGAAATCTCTACTCTACACCTGTACCTTGATGTTCTTGCAATTATGAATTTAAATGTCATATATTTAAATGTCATATCCTTTAAGAAACTGCCATGTTAGAGTCTGTAAACAAGTTAGGATGGCGCCTAGCATTTTGCCAGAGGGAGTGGTTTGTGAGGTGGCACCAGCGAGCCATTAAGTGTGGAGATTCCTTATTGGTTGACTGCTGTATCTAGTTTATGTTAATTAAGATAAGCTGTGTGGAATGTATAAATACCCCTCTGGTCCTACAATAAATGGCTCCCACTCCTGCTGTATCAATCTGTACAAGTTGTTCGTCACCCCCCCCTCCCCTCCCCGGTTATTTTGCCCAGCCAGCTGGGCTGCGGCACTGCCACAATTGCCTAGAGTAACATTAGATCAATACTTATTTATATTTACTCTTCCTGTCTCTTTCTATTTCTTCCTGTAATTCTGTGATCTGTTTAGGACTCTTTCCTTTTGTTTAATGATTTATACTAAAAGTATTTCTTTTAGTGTAGATATGACTGATTCAGTTTTTATTTGTTTGTATAAAAACATGTTAGAATACCCTGTTTGATGGTTATGTTTTCTGATAATAGAATTCTAGTTTTGGTAAAATTTTCCTTCAGGGTTCTTAAAACATTAATTCTTTGCCTGTTGGTTTCATTGATTTATGTTAAAAAGTTCTTCATTTTACTTATGCTTTTTTAGAAGTAATATGTCGCTTTTGTGTAGTTGCTTTAAAATCTTTTTCATTTTGTCATGAGCAACTTTCCTATAATATGCCCAGTGTACTTTGTTTTTATTTATCCTAATTAGGTTTCTCTTAATATATTGAAGGGAAACCACTTTCATCAGTCTTGTCATTTTTTGTTTAAATATTGCTTATTACACACTCTTACTCTCTCTTATCCTAGGATTATGATATGTATGAGTTTTTCATTATACTCCACATGTTACTAATATGCTTTTCTATATTTTTCATTATTTTTCCATTTGTATTTTTATTTTTTATATCAGCCTAACTGCATACACTGATACTTTATTCCCTTATGTCTATGGTATTAAATCATTTAGTTTTGTGTCAGGTATGATATTTCTTAGTCATAAAACAAATTTCCATTTTTAAATTTCAATTGTTTGATGAAATTCTCTTTATATCTATTTTCTCTATTGTTCCTTATTTTCAGCACATTAGCCATACTTATTTTAACATGTATGTCAATTAATTCAAATATCTGGATTATCCCAGCATTTGGGGGGTTTAGGTTTTTGCTCATTTTATCTGTACCATCCAGTTGTGTGTTTATGTGTTTCCCTGTGCACATATACATGCTTATGCATCAACTAATTTTTTACTGAATGTTGGATATTTATGTAAAACATTGTTCAGGATCAAGATGATATTATCTTCCTACAGGAAAAGCTCACTCTTTCTTCTGGTACCTTGACAGAGCCCTATCTAAACAAACCATTTTAATCAAAACAGGCACTGGGATCAATCAAGATTCTCTGAAGTCCTGATATCTAGCCCTACAGAGTTTTCAGTGGAGAATTTAGTATATCCTCCATGATTCCTTCCTATGAAATCCCAAACTCTAATATTTGTATAAGCAAGAAAAACTTTACTCTGCTTTTCAAGAATTTTCCACTTAAGTTTTTAGTGTTCACTGAGCTGCTCTGAGTTTGACAAATGCTCTGAGGGGAAACTCGTGCTGAGCTTGAATCCTCCAGTCTTCCAAAGGATACTGAAGTTACTCTGTTCCTAACAAAAAACTGTTGGTTGTTTTCAGATTTACCCAATTTCTTTTGGGGAAAATTGACTGTAGGATTTAGTTCTTCTCCCCAGTGATATTCCTTCTCAAAAATCTTAGCCCATTCAGGTATTATTATATCATATATTTTCTGCTGCTCCACAGAGATGATTTTTGTCTTATGGCCAGTTTTAAAGGTTGTCTTATGCTTCCAGATAATGCATGTAACCTGAAAGTAGAACCCCAGTAAATACATGCATGTTTTAACTTCACACTTTTAAAATATATTTTGTAACTTTTTATCATAAAAGGAGACTTTAATGTGGTATGGGCCATATTGACTTCAGTAGAATTTCTGCCCTTCAAATAGCACATGTTAAATGCATTACAGACAACAGCAAAATAATTATAAAAGATGCATTTGTAATAGAGGCATTTGAGAAAAAGCATATTGAAATGTGTATCATTATTAGAATATTAGCCTCCATTCTCTATCCTGGTTTGATAACAGTAAAATTGGTGTATTTTCATTTGGTATGCATATTGTGAATATTATCTGGATCATTTTCACTACAAAATCTCAGGAACTAAATTTTAAAATGTTGATCTTTTCTACATTATGGAGCTATCAACTAACTAGTAAGGAATGATCCAAACTTTATGAATGCACACACGAATGAGATGGGTTCTGTATGATCATTAGTCCAGTCAAATTAGATTCTTGAAAAGTGAAATTAAATTTTCATGATCTTGAGATAGACTGGTGAAAACTTAAACAAGACTTATTACTTTTCATAGAAAAATATTCATTTAAATAAGTATAATAAATAAGGGAGAAATCAATAATGTTAATTACCATATTTATATCTTGTATATTTGTTTGTATTTAATTCTGGTCTCACATTTAACTCTTCCTCACTTCAACTTTTCAATTAAGTGATGGCTAAAAACTTTGTTTCAAGAATGATTTAAATGTCAGTAATTTTCTTTTTTTATGTCCTCAGAAAAATTATTAATTCAGGGAAAAGCACAAGATTTAATATCCAGTAAAATAATATTTGATATTTATAAATAAATATTACATTATAAAATAAGCTTTTTAACTGTTCATCTTATGCCAGAAGTCCTATAAAATTGTCTTATATCCATATACATTTAACCCATTTGGAATCACACAATCAATTAACTAGGCTTATTTAACAGCTTAGAACTATTATAATTCAGATAAATTTATTACTGTTCAAGCTACCTAAGATCAAAATAATACTTAGTTCATACAAATGTAACTTTGATGTCATTGAAAAATTAAATTTAAATAATATTAAAGAATAAAACTGAAGATAATTAAACATCAAAAAGAAGTTATTATGTTGTCGATAAAGACTGTTCACATCTACAAAGTGCAAAATCTATGATCAGCCAAAAAGAACTAAACAGGACAGCCAAAATGCAGAAGAATTTTCCTGATTTTTGAAAAGCAGGGAGAAACTGCAGAAAAACAGCAAATTCCACTTTATCATCTATTTATAAAGCAAAAGGACAAGGAGATATATGAGGCCGTCAAGAGTCCTGAAATTCTTTGGAGAGATTTGGGGCATAATTCAGGCTCCAAGATTATTCTTTGAATATTATTATGTAAAAAAGTGATTTAACAGTTTTAGTTCAGTTTTTAGTTTAGTGAAGTGGATGGCAAATTATATCAGTTTCCCTATAGTTTATCATAAATGACAATTATTTAAAAATTTTAAATCCTAGTATTTATGGAACACTTACAATATTTTAGGTTCAGTACCAACTAAGTACATATCATTGCCTTACGTATGTGGTGCTCACAACAGGAAAGGACCACACTTTTTGTGTATAAATATTTTAATGAAGGTAATGTTGACATTCAATTTGAGAAAAACAAGTAGGACTGGGTTTTATGCTCACGGCTACTCAGTGGGCTTAGTCTGATAGTATAGTGAACACAAATTTAGTGAAAGGTGAACACTCTGGTATTGAAATATGAAATTATGTGTTAAAGATGTGTGCCACAAATACATGGAAATTCAAGATTTCATACAAGCCTTTAAATGGTTTATGAAATTTATTAAGTTCATTAAAATAAGAAGTTTTTGACTACTTGCTAAATTTCCAATTGGGGAAAACTAACCATTAAGATTAGATCAATTATGAGGAATATACATACTTCGTATGCCTAAAAATGCTAATACCAATAACAAGAACAAACTTAGAGCTACCAGGTACATACATAGGTTTGGAATAGTGGTTAGAATAAATTGCAATAGAAAGTTGCCAAAATAGTGAGAATGAAATACAACAATTAGTTGAATACAAAGCTATTTCTGCAGCTGGAATTTTCCTTAACTTCTCTCCCAGCATCCTGAACCAAAAGGTTAGGGAATATGGGCTTCAGGAATTTGAACTCACCAGTCCCAGAGTTTCCACCCAGACACACCTCATACTGGTAGCTCTGAGACAGTGTCCCTGTGCCACTGACATCCACCAGGTGGCCAGGAAAGTGGCCCTCAGGCATAGAGCAGACACCCAGCGGCACCGCCCTGCGCCTCCTGCACAGCCTCACCACCACAAACACCAACACAGAGAAGAGGAAGAGCGATGACACCGATGCCAAGGCGATGACCAAGTAGACAGTGAGCGAGTCCCCCTGCGCGCGCTCGGGCGCCACTTCCGGGAGCGGCAGGTAGGGCTGGGAGAAGCCATC